AGCATTTGTTGGTCACAGTTAGAACGCTCTCTACGGATGAATGAAAAGTTTCGCGTTCCAGGTATTTGCATGGAAGAATAAGGGTTGTCGGACACCCGATCAATTTTTTTTGTTCTGAGCTTTCGTCAGAGATAAAAGCGTCCACGAAAAAGAAGCAACAGTTATAGTGGGTAGGAGACAAGCAAACGTCATAGGGGGGAAGGGAGCTCATAAATAACTAGTGTCGACCGTGCGGATATGCCTGCAAGCATATCATCTTGTGTATACAGGGATATAATATCTTTTCTCAGTTTACTTTGTAATTATTTAGAGAAACGCTTCAGATTGTAATTTGAATGCTGCTTAGCACTTTAAGAATTTCACTCCTTTGTCCTTCAGTACGCGTTTACAGAAAAAACTAAAACTTTCACGATTTTCACAAAGTTAGGGAGAAATCCTCTCCAGAAAATGAAACACCTTACTCTTCTATTTATGCCGGAGGAGTTTTCAGTATATTTTGTTTACTTCTAGACATCATCGTCTGATTGCGAAAGCCCAGCCGAGTGACAGAGTATATCCTTCGATATTTTTAAACATGATAATTTTCCGCCTGTTTCGTTTCAAGTTTTATATTCCGTGATTCTCTTCTATAAATTAAAAACGTTTGGCCGGGGTTCGTTTATGGCAGTGCAGAGAAAATGTAGGACATTTCGCGACATTTCATATGCAGACAAATTTGGTCAATATTTTGAAGAAGACGACTCGATCGCTGGGACAATACTTTTATTCGCCTGACCTTTCACTCAAGAAGGCAATTACGGTTAATTTTCGTCGTATATTTGCAGTAATTACTTTATCCTATAAATACTACAAACTCCTGTGAATGTGCCACCCTATCTGCTATTGCTCTCTGACTATGTCTCTGGTTACGGATCCGCGAGGGATATCGAAACGTCAGGCGAATCAAAGTATTGTCCCAGCGATCGAGTCGTCTTCTTCCCAATTACTTCCAGGGACTCTCATGTTCGCTTGTATTGGTGGTCAATATTGTCGGCGTAGTAAAACAACTTGCGCACCCGTTAATGTATTACTTAGCTTTATGGCACAAAGCGTAACATATTTGCAAGATAAAAGTTTGTTAACTGACTTCGCTCTTCTTTTCCCGAAAATAATGCGTTGTCTCATACGTACACCTTCCTCAATTTCATGAACGCAAAACAACACACGCGAGCAAGACCTTTTTTCCCGCAGCGTTTAATAGCGTAGCAAATTCGCTGGATATCAACAAACGTTGGACCAGGCCGAATTCCGCCCTTATTTTCCCAGAATTCGTTTCGGGTAAACAGTACTATGCATCTCAAGTCAACCTAATGAACAGAATAACCAACCTCACATGTGTGTTTAATCCCCCACTCAAATTTTGACTTTCACATTTTATGAGAGAAACTATCTACTGTATATGTTACATAGGACTTATATATCCTATATCATCAAAGCTTCTTGTACTGGAAGACCTGTCGGTTGTTATATGGAATTCTAAACGTAAAGTGTAGTAGCTCGTAGCTCGACAGTTAGATATGGTTTAGACTTTTAAGCCAGATGAAAATCCGTTTTCGCAATATAGAGTAGAACACAACTTTCGGTTGATGTTTATATGGGGATTGGTCGGAAGTGCAGGCCGTATTACACTGACTGAACAACAGATACTGCCTTGAGCTAACAATGAATTTCACTAGCATGTTTCGGTTACTAGCAACCGCAAACCAAAACAATAGGCCACCTGTATCAGGAAAAAGACAGTAGAGTCGCTGAAAAAAGTAAAAAACGTTGAGAACTGGGGTAAAAGGGCTTCGAGGCAGAAAGAGACTGAAGAGGTAGAAAACAATGAAGCTCTCCTACAATAATATTAGTCGATACATTGGAAATGAGGATACATTACTTAAATAAAAACAAATGAAGGTGTCGCACACTTCAAGCACGGCGGTGAGGCTGAACATCCATCCTGTTGCTTTAAGTCAGTTGTTAAAAGAGGGAGGCCGAACTGGACGCTTAAGGGGACTATATAAGCTACTGTTGCCGAAATTATGAACGTAAAGTGTAGTTTCGTTTCTGTACCTCATCGCAGCACGACAGTTAGACGCTAGTTGAGGTTCAGACCTTTAAACCAGATGAAAATCCGTTTTCGTAGTATAGAGTGGAACAAAACTTTCGGCGGTTGTGTTCTATGGGGATTGGACGGAAGTAAAGGCCGTATCACACTGAGTGATCAACAGATACTTTCCTAAGTTAAAAATGAATGTTGAAGCATATGGCATGGCACCAGCTGCCATAAGAGCTGAGCAATAATACCTTCAGGAACTCTTCCGAGCTAATGGATACCCAAAGTCATTTATCAAACAATGCAAGCTCCGAGTGAACGGACGACGACTAGTGCAGCAGCAACTCGAAGTCTGCAGGGTTATTCCCTGTATAAAAGGGGTCTCCGAAGCAGCCTCCCGACTGTTACAACCTGCTGGCGTAGGCATAGACCATCGACCTCAGGCGACAATACGCCGCCGGGTGATGCAACCTAAAGACAGACTGCCTCTTACAGAAACCTCTGCAGTCGTCTACAAGATACTTTGCAACGATGGAGACTGCAATTAAGTTGGAGAAACAGGCCGCAAATTGCAGACCCGCCTACACGAGCACAAAGTAGCTCCTCGGAGACTAGGCCCAAACTCTCAACTTGCAGCACACGTCGCAGGGACTGGCCATGACTTCAATCTCCAAGGAGCGACCATCGTAAGTAGAGGAACATCAAAAGCCGAAAGGCTAACGCTTGACGCAGATGCCAGCTCTGTCAACAGGCATCAAGACCTGCCCGCGGGCTACAAAGTCTTGACTAATTATGTGGAAAAAGCCAGAACAAAGCCAAACCAAAAGTTAGAATGCCAAATAAAGAGGATCCGACAATGAACCAACCAGAAGGGGAGGCAAGGTTGCCAGGAACTTCTACCGGGTGACAAGGCGCCACACTAATTGCTGTTCATGACCCCCTGCTCC